TTGTTGAAGGTTATGACTTGAAGTCCAGGTCTAGTAATGGGAGAAATGGAGACGTATTTTAAATGATGGATTAAGAACAAGCTGCAAGATATAGTGCAATTATCCAAAGGCACGGATAATATCACAGGTCCTTACAGCTGTTAATTGGAATACAACTTAGTAGAAATATTGTACTTTTATCAAGAAAAAAAATGAGAATGTGTGCTTTATTTTTTGTTAATTAAAAATGTTTAGAAGTTACAGACCACAAAGTCAGCATCCCATTTTCTGCAAAATCTCCATTAGCAAGCCCTTCTCCCCAAAATGGAAATAACTTTTTAAAAAGAACATTAAAAGCCATCTAAAGGAGACAGTGAACTCTAAACTGAGGTAAGAAATTACTTTAGAAAATTACTTTTATTGTCTCTATTTAACATTTAATCTATATTTTTAATTTTTAAAAAAAATGTTAAAAATAATCATGTACACATGCTAGAACACTTAGGGATAAAATAAAGTGCACATTCGTATCATAATTACACCTTGCATAGCATATCTAGCCCTGCATAAAGAGAATCCCCCCTGCCCCATAGCTGGTACATCTGTAGCTCAGCTTCTGTATGCACAGTGCAAGGGAGATATTAATTAATTGGGCTCCAAGAGGACAAAGAATTCCTGATCGAATAAGTATAGGAATACCCTTTACTAAGTCCCTGTCTTGGAGATTCAAAATACATAATAGCATATTAAAGAAGTCCCACGTTTGAAAAACTCCATTTAACTCTGTTTAATTATTTATTTGTAAAAAGAAAGATTTTTCTTTCCCCCTCAGCACCCCTGTTAACAACACTTTCCCAACAAAAGAACACAAACCATAAAATAATCTACTATATTTCAGTTTATACATTATTTTTCCTTAATGCATTTAGAATTTATTTGTGTATTTGGTATGAGGTAGGGATCTAACTTTATGTTTTTGCCATATGGATGACCCATTGACCCATTCATTGATTATTCAGCTTTTCAATCTCATCTGTAATGTTATCTCTGATATATATTGAGTCTGTTCCTAGGCCCTCTGTTTTGATCCATTAAGTCTATCTCTATAGATTTGTAGCAATGTTAAGTCACATTGTTTTTTTGTTTGTTTTTCTCTTTTTTTTTTTTTTTTTTTTTTTTTTTTGTGGTACACGGGCCTCTCACTGTTGTGGCCTCTCCCTTTGCGGAGCACAGGCTCCCGACGCTCAAGCTCAGCGGCCATGGCTCACGGGCCCAGCCGCTCTGCGGCATGTGGGATCTTCCTGGACCGGGGCACGAACCCGTGTCCCCTGCATCGGCAGGCAGACTCTCAACCACTGTGCCACCAGGGAAGCCCTCCTTTAATCTTAATTTAGGAAAACTAAATGATGGATTTCAGGGAAAGAAAGATGCCTCATTTTGAATTTTCTGCTGTGCCTAGCACAGTGTTTAGTACAAAAGCTCTCAACAAATGCTTAACAATTAACTTGAGAGGAAAAAAAGGAAGACAGTTCGGAGTGTTTGGAGCTCTGAAAAAGCTTTAAAACCTACTTGACTTCCACCCAATGAGCTTCTTTGGTGTGTGTTCAGTAAAATATATACAACATAAAGTTTACCCTTTTAACTTTTTAAAAGTGTACAATTCAGTGGCCTTAAGTATATTCCCATCATTGTGCAACCACCACCATTGTTTCTTTCTAGAACTCTGTGCCTATATAGTATGGGAGGAAAACAAGTTTTCCTCTACCTTCTTAGGGTCCCTGGATGGGTCTGAAAATTAAACTGACAAAGATAGATTAACAGGAGAAGAGCATACAAACTGAGTTAATGTAACTAATTTAATGTAATGTAAGCACATGACATGGGAGCCTTCATAAGGAAATGAAGACTCAAAGAAATGGTTAAACCTGAGCGTTTTCATGCCAGAAGTGATGAAGAAGGAAAAGTTGTGGGAAGATGTGATAGGACAAAGGTGAGCCAAGTGTGGTGAACTGCGGGAAACCTAGCAAGGCCAGTTAGTTCAGATTCTTCTGTGTCCTTCCTTCTTAGAGATAAGGATGCTGCTCCTTTTCTCCAGATATAGGAACGATACCTCTCATATGAGGGTTTTAAAACTTTGTCAGGGGTAGGTCAGAAAGTCCTTTTTGCACACGTCATTCTAAGATTCCTTCAGCTTGAAATATTCAACATGCCAAGTTGTCCTATTTTGGAGTAGTGTGTCCTGAACCCCACCACTATTAAACAATAGCCACATTCTCCACTCTTCTCAGTCTCTGGAAACCTCTATTCTTTCTGTTTCTATGCATTTGCCAATTCTAGGTACCTCATATAAGTGGAATCTTACAATAATTCACTTAATTCACTTAGCATAATGTTTTCAAGGTTCATCCACATTATACTATGCATCAGAATTTCATTCCTTTTTAAGGCTGAATCATATTGCATTGTATTGAAGGGGTTAGGAACAAGTCAACCTAAAATGTACCACTTTGGCATGAGGATTATTATTATTATTTTTGTTTTTTTGCGGTACACGGGCCTCTCACTGTTGTGGCCTCTCCCGTTGCGGAGCACAGGCTCCGGATACACAGGCTCCGCGGCTATGGCTCACGGGCCCAGCCGCTCCGCGGCATGTGGGATCGGCAGGCGGACTCTCAACCACTGCACCACCAGGGAAGCCCAGCATGTGGATTATTTTGAGCTGAGGATAATCAAAGCCCCTAAAACTCAGGGAGCATTTTTTTTTAAACTTCCCCCCTTAACTACCTAAAAGAATTTAGATAGGGGGCCTAGCTCAGAGAGAGAGCTATCACCAGACAACTTTTTTTTTTTTTTAAGCACTACGTTTTAGGGTGATTTTAATTTTTTAAATTTTTTATTTATTTAATTTTATTTTTTTAAACATCTTTATTGGAGTATAATTGCTTTACAACATTGTGTTAGTTTCTGCTGTATAACAAAGTGAATCAGCTCTACGTATACATATATCCCCTCCCTCTTATGTCTCCCTCCACCCTCCCTATCCCACCCCTCTAGATGGTCACAAAGCACCAAGCTGATCTCCCTGTGCTGTGCGGCTGATCCCCACTAGCTATCTATTTTACATTTAGTAATGTATATATGTCCATGCCACTCTCTCACTTCATCCCAGCTTCCCTTTCCCCTTCCCTGTATCCTCAAGACCATTCTCTAGTGGTCTGCATCTTTATTCCCATCTTGCCCCTATGTTCTTCATGACCATTTTTTTTTTTTTTAGATTCCATATATATATATATGTGTTAGCATACGGTATTTGTTTTTCTCTTTCTGACTTACTTCACTCTGTATGACAGACTCACCCACCTCACTACAAATAACTCAATTTTGTTCCTTTTTATGGCTGAGTAATATTCCATTGTTTATATGTGCCACATCTTCTTTATCCATTCATCTGTCGATAGACACTTAGGTTGCTTCTATGTCCTGGCTATTGTAAATAGTGCTGCAATGAACATCGTGGTACATGACTCTTTTTGAATTATGGTTTCAGAGACAACTTTTTAACTGAATGACCCACCTATATGGCAGGGCAAACATCTAATCATCAGACATCAGCTCTTCTTATTGTCCTGTGAATCACCTTCCTCCTTTTTGAAGCCCCAGGGCCCTATCCCATTCCTTAGCTCAGGATGGCATATAAGTCTCTACTGCTTGACTTGCTTTTGGGGTCTCATATTTTTATGCACTCCCATATGTACAGAATTACATTAGAATTAAATTAGTTTTCTCCTGTTAATCTGTCTTATGCCAACTTGATTATTAGACCAGGTAAAAAACCCTAGAAGGGTAGAAGGAAAGTGTTTCTCCCCTACAGTATCTATATACTGAAGGGGAGCAGAACATGCCATCCCAACGTTTGCTGCTTTGGCATATTAATTATTTTGAGCTGAAAGCACTTGAGAAGCAACTGATGCAGGAAGGGATCTCTCTCTCTCTCTCTCTCTCTTTCTTTTTTTTTTTTTTTGGCTGTGCTGCTTGGCATCGGGTATCTTAATTCCCTGATCAAGGATTGAAACTGTGTCCCCTGCAATGGAAGCACAGACCACCACTGGACCACCAGGGAAGTCCCACGAAGGGATCTCTGATCTCCCTCTTTCTACTTAAAAGTGGATCATAAAATTTCCCACGAGGGAGGTACCCTCTCTGTACCAGGAAGAGAAGAACATTCTTATCACTGGAGACTGGGAACCTACACCAAAATGGATCTATACAAACAAATCTACTAAAATAAAACAAACCTATTAAAATAACTTCCATTAGTTTCCCTCATATATTTTCAAGTTACTGTTCCACAATTTACTGCCCCTACCCCTTTGTCTTGTCACATCTGCACAATTTCTTATTCTTTGTTTAAAAAGGTACTTAAGTTTTGGAACCTAATGGTTTATTCCAGTCTTCTTTTTCCTTTTGAAGATTTCCTGTGTACATGAAAAAATATGAAATAAAATTTGTATGTTTTTCTCCAGTTGATCTGTTTTGTCAGTTTAATTCTTAGGCCCAGCCACAGAGCCTACAAAGGTAAAAGGAAGTTTTCCTATAATACCACATTTTGTTATCCATTCATCTGTTGATGTACACTTGGGTTATTTCTACTTTTCGGCTGTTGTGAATAATGCTGTGTAAAGCAAAGATGTTGCCCACCATCCAGTTCTATAAGGATAAAAGGTTCAAGTCATTAGCCACTGCAGTAGCTGACTGACAGTGCACCCTGAAAGAAATTCAGGATGAAAAACAGGATAAGGCAGTCTGTGTTTTGGAAAAAAAGACCCCTTAGATTGTTAGAGATATCTCTGGAAAAATTTTTAATGAACCCAGATTCTTGAATCTTCCTATACATAGAAAAGCACTAAAATCATTATTTGAGATATCTGATTCTTGTCACTAGCAATAACATTTTACTGAGATGTATGCTTGACTGCAAGCATTCCCTAACCAAAATCGTATATACATGGTTCTCCTCCTACCTCGTAGGCGCATAACCTCAGAGCTGAGGCGCTATTTCCCAGGCTATAGTCCTCAGAAAGGTCCCTGAATAAAACAGAAACCCACAACTCTGGCACTGTACCTTTTTCTATGTCGAAAATTTTTATGAACATTGGTGTGCAAGTATCTGTTTGAACTGCTTTCCATTCTTTTGGGTATATTCCTGGAAGTGGAATGACTGGATCATATGTTTAACTTTATGAGGAATCACTGTACTATTCTCTACAGTGGCTCACCATTCCCTTCGGCAAAGCACAAGGAGTCCAATTTTTGTCATCCTCGTCACAAACACTTGTTATTTTCTCCTTTTTGATAATAGCCTTCTAATGGGTGTGAAATGGTATCTCATTGTGGTTTTGATTTGTATTTCCCTAATAACTAGGGATGCTGAACATCTTTTCATGTGCCTATTGGCCATTTTAATATTTTCTTTGTCCATTTTTGAATTCCAACTAATCATCTTTTTTTTTAAAACATCTTTTTTGGAGTATAATTGCTTTACAATGCTGTGTTAGTTTCTGCTTTATAACAAAGTGAATCAGCTATACATATACATATATCCCTGTATCTAGTCCGTCTTGCGTCTCCCTCCCACCCTCCCTATCCCACCCCTCTAGGTGGTCACAAAGCACTGAGCTGATCTCCCTGTGCTATGCATCTGCTTCCCACTAGCTATCTATTTTACATTTGGTAGTACATATTAGTTCATGCCACTCTCTCACTTTGTCCCAGCTTACCTTTCTCCCTCCCCGTGACCTCAAATCCATTCTCTACATCTGCGTCATTATTCATGTCCTGCTCCTAAGTTCTTCATAACCTTTTTCTTTTTTTTTTTTAGATTCCATATATATGTGTTATCATATGGTATTTGTTTTTCTCTTTCTGACTTACTTCACTCTGTATGACAGACTCTAGGTCTATACACCTCACTACAAATAACTCAATTTCATTTCTTTTAATGGCTGAGTAATATCCCATTGTATATATGTGCCACATCTTCTTTATCCATTCATCTGTCGATGGACACTTAGGTTGCTTCCATGTCCTGGCTATTGTAAATAGAGCTGCAATGAACATTGTGGTACATGACTCTTTTTGAATTATGGTTTTCTCAGGGTATATGCCCAGTAGTGAAATTGCTGGGTTGTATGGTAGCTGTATTTTTAGTTTTTTAAGGAACCTCCATACTGTTCTGCATAGTGGCTGTATCAATTTACATTCCCAC